GTATTATAGTAAAAATAGAGTTATTTTTAGTAAGAGAATATTCGTCCCTCTTCTATTACAATAAATGAAGGGTATCTATAGTGCAAAACCCACGTGCACTGTTCACGATGTCAGTACATCAGCATTAAATTTGATTTGATTGCGACATGTTGCTCTGTTGGGCATGACCCAGTCTCAGTGATGGCTTTCGTCAGTACAACGGGCATGCGTCGTGTCAGCATTTAATGCATTGTCAGAGGTCGGCTTTCGTAGGATGTAGATCGTCACTTGGGATATGGAAACCGAGTGCTTTGCATGGAACGTTATTTAATGTCGAGCTGATTGTTTATGTGAAAATGTCGAGTTGAATGGCTTATTCGTTGTCGAACCTTTGAGGTCGAATGTTGTTCGTTTATGTGCGCGTGTCGGACGATGGTGAGGACATCCATTCGAATGTCCAGAATACGCTTGAATATTATATTTATTTAAGTAAAAACTTGTAATTTTATAATTTTTATTAAGGAATAATTTAGTAATTAAATAATTATTTATAAAGGTAGATATAATTTTCTTTATATGTGCAATATAAATTTAAATCATATATTACAAAAATATAATCAATTCCGTATATTATATATAAAAAATTCATAATAAACTAAATAATGATTGAATTTTATTTTCACACAACTTCAGTGAAATGGAAATCAAATTAAATTTCAAATGGCCATGTTTAGATGTTATCATATCGTGTAAAGTTAACAGATTGAATATTTAGTTTGACCCGTCAAATTCGCTAGTTATCTTATTCAATAAAGAACTTATTTGATTAGCTTTTTTTTTATCTCTAATCTGTAAAATCTTGATATATGAGCGTTTTGAGAAAAATTATTCATATATATAATAATATTTCAACACAAATTTTTCAATAAAATAGATATATAATGTACAATTACCAATAATTATTCACAATAATACAATCTCAAACAGTTATTTTCAAACAAATAATATAATCCGTCAGTCAAATGACTCAAATCATATATTATAATCTGCTAATACAAATAGCTATTGCTATTAGTTGATAGTTAATCAAGTCTATAGTACAATTTTAATATTGTGTTATTTATATTTTTAAACCAGGACACATTTTTTTAATGATTTGGTCGAATCAAAGGCAAACAAACATAAATTATAGCTCAAATGCAAGGTCTTAATACAACGAGTAATCAAATGATTACATCCCAAGGATAATCTAAACACAACTATCCAAAGAATACGAGGAAGAGCTTTAGTCATCCCCTCAAAGACCAACATGGTCGCAAGAAAAAAGAAACTAAAAAACAAAGGATTAAAAAGCAACACAAGAGCTGATACCACAATCTTCAAACATGATCCATATATTGTTCAGCACCTCCAGATAGCAGTCATAGGAAGTTATAGCTTTGTTCAGGAGCTTCACTGCCAATTCCTCATTAAGATAGCAAATAGCTGCTTTCCCATTGTTGTCTTTGAAGTTCCTTAAAGCCCATTCAGTTGCCAGCAAAGCAGCTTCCGAATCCTCCAAGTTATCCCTGATTCCTGCTATTTGGCCTTCCCAATGTGTTTGGTGTCCTGTGGTATGAGAAGCAAAACAATCCACTGAAATCTTACCATCTGCAGATGATTGAGCACTGATAGCCAGCCATGGCTTACCTACTCTTAGCCTAGCTTCATCTGTGATGTGCAATCTGTCAAAGCTCAACTGATGATGCTCCCACTCCAACCATTCAGCAAAAGACTTCTCCACTATTTCTTTTTCATTGAACCAATCCCCTTTAAATACCCACTTGTTTCTGGCCTTCCACATATTCCAGATTAAGTGAGCAGATAAAGTGATTCTCTTTTTGAGTACAACAGACATACCCTGTGAACAGATTTCCTTCCACCATCTTTGAAAGTTCATTTCTTTGGTTTGTAGAAGCTCCCACTGCAACCCACTCAACTTCCAGCAAGTCCGGGCTTTAGAACAAGTAAACAACAAGTGATTAAGGTTCTCTGAACCTTGACCACATCCCTTGCAAATTGGATCAACATCAATCCCCTTCTACATCAGTCTATTATTCACTCCTATAAACTCAAACCAGCATCTCCAAATGAAGAATTTGATTTTGGGTTTCATGCTTAGCTGCCAGCTTGATTTCCACATTTTCCTCCACCAATCTGCAGTGCCACTAGTAGAAGCTTGCATACTATTTTTAGTTTTTGCTTCCAAAATGGTTTGATATGCTGCTTTGGTGGAGAATTCTCCTTTCTTACCCCCATTCCAGATAAGCCTGTCCTGCTGTCTATGATTGGACAGAGGAATTTTGAGAATAGTGGCAGCATCAATAGGGTTAAAGGTTTGATTGATCAGCTCTATATCCCATTCTCTCCCACCATTCAAAATCAAATCACTCACCTTAACAATTCTGCTCTTATCACCCCAAAAGCAACACTTAGGTTTGAATGAAGAGTTGTTTGGGATCCAAGGCGAAATCCAAACATTTATAGATTCTCCAGTTCCCACTTCAAACCTAGCACCCAAACAGAAAGAGCTTCTAGTACCCAACCAGCTATTCCAAAGCCAGGAATCCCCATCCCTGGCTTTAACATCCAACAAATTCCTGTTCCAAAAGTATTTGCCTTTCAATAATTTGCTGACTAACAGGTTTGGTTTGGTTTGGATCCTCCACAATTGCTTGACAAGCAATGCCTCATTAAAAGCCCTAAGATCCCTGAAGCCTAAACCCCCTTCTTCCTTAAGCACTACTAATTTCCCCCACTCACCCCAATGAATCCTATTACCACCTTTATCATTTTGACCCCACCAGAAGTTAGAAATGTCTCTACAAATGTGATTGATAATGCTAGTGGGTATTCTAAAGCAAGACATAACATAGGTTGGTAAAGCACTCAACACTGACTTAATGAGGATTTCTCTCCCTGATTCACTCAAGAATTTATTTTTCCAAACTCTGGATTCTATTTTTCACACAATCACTCACAAATTTAAAAGTATCTATCTTAGATCTGCCTATGCCTAAAGGTAACCCTAAGTATCTAGAGGAGTTAACTCTATTGATACCAGAGAGCTTACTACAGATTTGCACCTGAGTTCCAGTGGAGGTGTTTTTAGAGAACAGAATTGAGGATTTCCCAAAATTAACAGTTTGACCAGATTCTAGACCATATTGGGAGAGAATGTTACCAATCAGTTGGGAATGGTTCAAATCAGCTTTGCAAAAAAAGATGGAATCATCTGCAAAAAATAGATGACTCACAATAGGTGCATGCCTACCTATCTTAAGACCATGAAAAGTACCTGCTCTGCAAGCTTGATTTATAAGATTGGAAAGGGCTTCTGAGACAAGAATGAATAGATAGGGTGACAGAGGGTCACCTTGTCTCAGTCCTCTAGAAGGTTGTAAAAAACCAAGGACAGAACCATTTAAATTTAAAGAATAAGAGGCAGTGCACACACATGCAAGTATCCAAGACAAGAAAGTGTCACAAAATTCCATTTTTCTACAAACTTTGGCAAGAAAAGGCCATTCCACTCTGTCATATGCCTTTGCCATATCAAGTTTAATGGCCATTCTGTTTGCCTTTCCTTTTACTATTCAAGTAATGCACACATTCATTTGCAATAAATATATTATCAAGAATCTGCCTTCCAGGCACAAATGCTGACTGAGAATCAGAAATACAGACATTCAAAACTTGTTTCAGTCTATTGGCCACAATTTTTGCAATCAATTTATATATAACTGAGCAGAGGCTAATAGGCCTAAAATGTATAACCCTAGAGGGATTTTTCTTCTTAGGAATAAGAGTTATAACAGCATGATTCAGGCCTTTAGGCATTCTGCCAGTATCAAAGAAATTATGAACAACAAGACACACATGGAATTTAATAGTGGACCAGGATTTTTAAAAAAACCTGCAGTAAAGCCATCCTCACCAGGGGCTTTGTCCTGATCCATTTCTTTCAAAGCACATTCAATTTCCTCATCCTCCAATTGTCTAATTAAATTATCATTCATGTCAGGAGTGATGTTTCTAGGGATACCATCTAAGCTGCAACTGTTGTCAAGAGGGTTAGAAGATTTGAACAGTTTATCAAAATAATCAAGAATTTCAGATAGCATTTTCCCTCAATTATCCCCATTAGCTTTGACTATATTACCTAGATTATTGAGCTTTCTTCTACTTCTGACACTAGCATGGAAAAATTTGGAGTTTTTATCCCCTTCCCTGAGCCATAAAACCCTGGCTTTCTGTTTCCAAAACAACTCCTCACTCTCATAAGCTAACTGAGATTCTAACTTACACCTATTCCACTCACCCCAATCCCTACCCCCTCCCTGACTTCTGAGATGCTCCAGCTGAGCATTGCATTCATTAATCTTGACCCTAGCATTCATCCCAATATCCCTATGTCAATTGACTAAAGCCTTTCTTACATTTTTTAACCTCTGCTGAATGCTGAACAAGGCATGTCCTGGCACACTCAAATTCCAGGCAGTTGACACTAAGTCTTGGAACCCTTCCATTCTGACCCATCTCATATCAAAGACAAACCTTTTTTTAAAAAGGTCACAACCTGGGTTACTATTCATCAAGAGCATAGAATGATCAGAGGAGCTAGCAGTGATATGCTTAATCTGGGAATTAGGAAAATTGCTAAGCCATTCATGAGAGAATAGGAATCTATCCAGTTTCTCTTCAATAGCCAATGGACCTTTCCTGTTATTAGTCCATGTGAAAGGGTGGCCAGTGACATTAGCTTCCATAACCCCTAGGTTAGCAATCAAGTTTCTAAAATCTGTAAAGCTAGCTTCTTCTCTTCTCTGACCCCCAAGTTTTTCAAAATGATCAACAATTTCATTAAAATCTCCACTAAGGATCTTATTTGAATGTTACTGGAATCATCTATGGCAAAGTTTTCATTTTCGGGGACTATCACGACAAAATGTAATTTTGGGTTGATGAGCCGTCCAGAAAATATGTGGAAAGCAATGAAAACATTGGGAAGGGTAAAATAGCTATTTCACCCTACTGCATGACAACTTAACTGTAACCTACTTATTATCAGCCAGATTCATTACCTAAATAAATATTCTCTTTTCTTCAAATGCCAAAGTCTCGAATCTAATCTTTTTTGAAAGAATTTCGAATCCAACTCATTGATGCCACACAGTACTGCAGAATTTTGAAACTTATTATGATGCAAATATGCAATTAGACATGTTTAATATATCAAATTCAAGTATCAACTGTCGTTTTATGTGTCCAATTTTTTCCCTTACACTGTTACACACACACAGATAATACAAATCTGTGAGCCTACGAACATGTTATGTACTGTGTGTCTTCCCAGTTTTCAAATGACTTGTCAAAAACTCTGAGGGCCCCACCTCTGAACAATAATAAGGTACTGAACTGAAAATGGGCACTGTGTCACCTGAATCATAATGCAATCAATTAATTTAGCAGCACAAATATATAACATATTACAATTTCATATATGATTTTTTTTTTTTCTTTTTTCTTGTTTTTTGTTTTTTCCCACCGCTGGCAAGCATACATACATGGCTCTAGCTCTGTTTATATATATGTATCAGGTAATGACAATCACTTTTTTGGACTAGGAGTTTTTGTTTTGTTTCATTTCATTTTTTCTCGTCCTATATTTTGGTTAATTACAAAGTTTTTTTTTTTTTCTTTTCCTAGTTTAATGTACTTCATCTGTTTGATGGTATGAAGAAAATATACTGCTATTGTGCAGTTGCCCTTTTGCTGGTATGGGTCTTTGCTGCTGATTACAATCCAGGTTTTGTATCATTA